TTCTATGCTATTATTGTGTATTATATGTTTGCCCATTGGTTGGCAATGTGTAGCAGTTTTGTGAATCCCATTCTTTATTCATTTATGAGCCAAAGTTTTCGGGTAAGCATTTAATTGCTGTTACAATCAATGCATGTGACAATTTTATATGTATCTTAATTTGAATTGATTGAAATACAATGGAATTATTTTAATAACAGTAAATAATAAATATAATGTTTGTAATTATTATAATATAAAAATAATGGATTAATTAACTAAATTCAAATTTTATTAATTGTAGTTTTAATTTACACTATAGTAACGTAAAGCATAATGATATTTCAATTTATGTAATAGTTAAATCGATCGCGTAGTTATATTAAAGATTATTACAAAACCTGAACTGTATTCACCTATTTAAATTTAGCTAAATCTACTGTACATTATACTGTATGTGTTAATTTGTTAGTGTCTTACAAATACATTGAATTTATTTAGTAAGTCTTTATCAAGTGATTAAATATATTTTTATACATTTAAGTGGCAATAGTTGATCAAAAATGTCCTTAACTTACAAATCACGTACTAATTATATATTTTCCTTACAATTACTTTGAATTTAAGGATGACTTCAAGAAAATGTTTTTGAACAGAAGAGGACAGAATAGAAAGGCGTCTACTGTTAACAGCTTAACACTCAATACTCGCGTATAATTACTGAATACAACATTTTTTGGGCTTTAAAATAAAACACTTCAATACAACGTATTGTAAATGTATTCTCTAAGTCTAACAAATGGTGCCACTTATTCTTTACTATACTATACTATACTGTATACATTCAATCAAAGTAAAATTAATAATGTTATCATTTAATATTTATTATATTATAACTATTTAATCCTCTAATATTTAATTCTTTAATAATTAGCTATTTATTCACTAAATATGAAAATAATTAGATGGTTACTAATTAGACGATTACTGTTGATGTTGATAAGTTTATGTTCATAAAAGTCAATTTGTAATTATAAATAAACTATTGTTGTACAAAAATACTCAACTAAATAGTTAAATATTACTTAAATGTATTTCTTTAATATTATAGTTATTTATTTGTTATAAATTGTTCTGCTTATTAAAATTAAAACGTTGATTTACAAATGAATGTTATGTGGATACTAAATTTTTTGAATTATTTAATTGCATATCCGAGCTTTATTATTTCATAATAGAGTACATTATAATTTAAATATAGTAATAGTAAATATAAAGTTTAAGCAAATATTTAATTAATTGTTTAAAACAAATACAAAATACTTAAATAAAATGTCGGATTAATGTTAAAGACATTTAAGATATTTTAAAATTTAATATTTAAAAGAATAATTATTATTCCGAAGAATTCAAATGAAATATAATAACTGTTGCGATAAATAAAACAATATTATAGACACCACTGACTGCATATCCAATTTGTACATCAAAGTAATGTATAGTCCAGCCCCGGGTTATTATATATCGTATGGACTCAATGGGCAGAGATAAAGGTGCCATGTAGAATATGGTCCGCATTAGTCCAGGTACTGAATCCAATGGCCAAAACACGCCGCATATCATCCACATCGGGAACACTAACCCAAATGCCATTAACTTAAAATACAAATTAATCAATTAAAATGTTGTTCTTACAGAATATTTACAGTGTATTTGTAACAAAAGTATATTTAATTATCGTGAAGTATATTAATTAAAAGCAAATAAGTATAAATAAAAGTATATGTGACGTACGAGTGCTGCCACTTCATTAGGGGCTACGGCAGAGACAAGGAGTCCAAGAATAATACCATTAGATCCCTGAAGAAACATAAGCCAAAACACTTCGGACGCGTTGCCCATTAGCTTCACATCAAATACGATGAAAGCGACAAACATGAGAAGAGCCACCTGTACTAATAGGGCCAGTATTAGGATAAACATGTGTGATATAAGCACTTCAAAACTGCGGACACCCGACACAAAACTGCGCTCCAGTAGACCGTCTTTCTTCTCCAATACAATCAAAAACGATGCCAACAGTAATGGTGTGGAGTATATAATGGCCACTATAGCTCCCGGAGCTATCGAATTAATTAATGAGTACTCAATAGTGCCGTAAATG